GTTTGGCCTGACTGGTTGAATTAGCATGAGGGTTATCACACCGAGGCATATGACAGAAATAATTAAGAGGTTTATAGTCAAGTGTTGAAGTGTGATTGTGTGCATGTACATTTGAAAGCATGTTGGGAATTCAGTGTGACGTTGTCACCTCAGGCTATTAGGCTCGGCTTTACTGATCAGAATAAAGCAGAATAAATAACAAAAGAAAATTTAAACAGTCTAAATGAGAAGTGAAAAAAACGTTGCTAGCACTTTTTAAAGGCTTAATTTAGTTTTCTGTTTGACATTATTGCTTTATAAAGCTGTTCTGTGACACAATACACAGTTTGATTCTCTGTAAATGTGAAAAACAGGAAGTAAATGACATTTATTCCCATGGTCTCAGGATGACTCTTGTAGAGAGCAGTCTTTTGAATTAAAAAAAAATGTATAAATTAAAAATAATTTTGTGTCAGTTGGATAATGTTGTAATGTTGATATGAATTATCCTTTATCCTTATAAAAGTTAGCATGGAAATCTCAAAGTGAGTAATGGCACATTATACACACACACACACACACACAAAATGATTAGTTAAAAAAATAACACACACACACACACACAAATACTTTACATACTAAATTATAAGTTTTCTTAAAAATCATTTTTATTTTTTTAGTTCAGTAACTATAATGGTCATTATTAATTTCTGAAAACACAAAATACAGTCTCTCATGAACACCATATTTTGTGTTTGTAATAACTTTTGATTATCTGCAAAGAGTGAAGATTCCTTATGCAATGTACTGTGGCCTTACCATAGTAACATTATACAATGGTATACTTTGATATATATACTGTGCATCTTGGCACTAAATGATGACCATATTCATATACCTTCACATGCTACTTCAAGAATACCATGGTATGCCCTTGGTACATGTCCAAAAACCCATAGTGAAGTTTTATATTTTCCCTACTGGCTTTATTTCATCATCCGAAAGTGTGAGAATATTGTAGGTGGTGACAGTGCCACCTCTTTCCCCTTCCCCCACAAATCACTGACTCATCTGTATTCCTCCTCAGTCTCCCATGTGGCCCTTTCCTTTCGTCACATGACCGGTGTGTTCCCTCCAATAGAATCAGCCTCATTTTCGCCCCTCTGCTGAATTACAGTGACACGTGGACTCCAGTGACCCGACAAATCAGAGGAGAAAAGCTGGCATTCTCTAAATATCATACCCACTCATCAATATTCCTCTAGCTTTTTCTTTCAAGTCGCACCCCACCCCTTTATCCCAAACCCCCCCACCCCCTGTTTGTTGGCCCACCCCTCCTGCAATACAGTTGGGGTAATTGTCCATGCAACACACACACACACTGGCACATAAAGACGGACAGACAAGAGCGTGTGGCATTTCCCTGCCATATGCCGTCCCTCCTCTGGAATGTGATTATACTCGGTGGAGAAAAAAACAGAGGCTGAGCGGAAAACACAGTGTGCGGGGGAAGCAAGAGAGGGGGAATAGAAGAAGGAGGAGGAGAAGCAGTAAAGCAAGTGTAGAGACAGAGAGAGAGAGAGAGAGAGGAATTATGGAGGATGCAGAATGCATGGTGGCTCGGCTAGAGAGGGAGGGTTCATGAGAGGGCTGTTCAGTCTGGCATGATTCTTCGGATAAGGACGGAACTGAACTGAAGTGGAAATCTCACACACACGGCTGCCGTCTCCAATCCGACAAAGACTCAGGTCTGTGATGTTTCTTCACATGTAGAGATCGCCGTTATGCACACAGATGGCCACATTCGAGAAGGGCTGTGGCTCTTGAAGCTCTTCAGGTTTACCGCAGATGACTGTACGGTTTAGTCTTTCAGCTAGTGTTGAATAGAAACCTGCTGTTTTGTATGTTAGAGCATGTTTATGTGTGATATTTTTGTCTAGAGAGATGCATATTTAACTCTGCAGACACTGAAGCAGGGGCGTGTGTCTGTATGTGGGTGGATTTGAACGGCGCTTTTGTGTAAAACCTAGAGCAATAACATATTTGAATAGAATTTTTTGTGCTCGAGTCACAGCGATGAGCAATCCTGGGGTGAATCAGCCACATAAATGCGAACGCAGACTCAGATGCAGAAACAGAAACAGATGGATGTGGAAACAGGTCCACATGGAAGCAGGTGGAAATCTGTGTGTGTGTGTGATAGGTTTGTGAGCGGTATCCACACACCAGCAAACACCACACAGCTATCAGATTAAGCAGAGAAATATCTCTTTACAGGATCAGGGGAGTGTTGAGGCTCATTAACGTGCTAAATAACACATATGTAGTAACCGTCTAAGATGCTAAGACTGCTTTAGCACCTCGGTTCAAACGCTTTACGTCAATCTCTCTGTGTCTCTTTTTAAGTATAAACTTTGTCTGAGGTGTTTATCCTAAATAGACATGAGTTGGGTAAAAAGAGCAACTTTTACTATTACAAAACTGGTCAAAGGTTTAGAATAATTAAGGTTTTTTTTTATGTTTTTCAAAGAAGTTTCTTATGCTTATCAAGGCTGCATTTATTTGATCAAAAAGACTGTAAAATCAGTAATATTATTACAATTGAAAATAACTGTTTTCTATTTAAATATGTTTTAAAATGTAATTTATTCCTGTGATGGCAAAGCTGATTTTTTTGCAGCCATTACTCCAGTCTTCAGTGTCACATGATCCTTCAGAAATCATCTAATATGCTGATTTGGTTATTAACAGTTATTATTGGTGCTCAGTTATTAATAATGGTCATTGTTATTATTTTCAATGTTTTTGTTTTTTTTAGTTTAATTGACATTTTTTAAATAGCAATCTTTTGTAACATTATACTGTAAATGCCATTACTGTCACTTTTATCTATTTAATTAATTCTTGCTAAATTAATGTATTAATTTCTTCATCTTACTTACCCAAAATTTTTTAATAGTAGTGTATCCTGTTTTCCTCAAAAATATTATTAATAATAAGAAGAAATGTTTCTTGAGCACCAAATAAGTATATTATTTCTATGTTCTCTCTAATGCTATTTTCTGTAGGAGAAACAGTTGACACTAATGCGGTCTCATTTGTCATTTTTCTCACCTAAGGGTGGTGGCGTCCGTCTACACAGTCTTGATGTGTCTATAAATGATGACCTCACTTCCACCCACACTGTCTCGTACTGAGAACAGGTGCACAGAAATGTTTTATTATCTGCTTCTCACTGTTGAACATGTGACTGCTTTCAGTGAAGTTAATCATGCACACTCGCAAGAAGCAAAAAGCGGAACTGTGCTGCAGGAATATTACATAAAAACAAGCTCAAAAACACAGAAAAGAGGCTCATACCTGATCAAGGGTCACAGAATTATGTGTGGAGCTCAGTCAGCATGCTGACAATTCAAAGGCAGACAAAGTCTAAGATTATGAGTCATTTCTTGATTGTCATTAGTACCAAACTTAGTATTGTCTTTAGAGTTGTGAAAGTGTGGCATCCATTCATTTCCTGCTATAATTTTTTTAAGGCCCATAAGAAAGATTGTACACATTCCCATAGTTCTGTTCACATTGGGGCAAAAAGGGACTGGAGAGATGAAAGCTGAAAAAGTGGGTTGGTTTGTTGATATTGTTACACATTTAGACTTCATTCTCATCAATCTCTTCTTACTCAGCAGCTTTAATCAATGCCTGTAATTATTCTCTAGTCACCAACAGTCAGCACATTCATGCACACATAACATTTTGTAGATGGCACATTGAGTAAATAGTTGGATCCTTTTTAATTACACATATAAGGATTTTACTACAGTTTGTTTTATTTTTAATTTTTTTCGGTGTTGGTAGCACAGTGCATCATCTATTATGTTTATAGTGTCAATGCTGTTGTTGAATGGACATTTATTTAGTCAGTGTCCTGCTTCTCACATTGGCTGAGAAACCGGTTTTGTGACCAGTGAGGGGAAAGAGTGAGACAACCACAGGAAGGACAAAAAAATTGCAGCTGCTTGTTATGAGTGACACTTTCAAGACGAGTTGCATGTTGTGGGCATTTCCCTGTTGTTTAGTGTATTGTTGTTGCTTAAGATGGAGAAACATCTTAGGAATGTGAGAAAGACGCAGACCAGGACACACTGGAGAACCAAGAGCAGAGCAGGTATGCTCTTATAGGCTAATTCAAACAAATATAATTGAACTTGTCATTTTAATGTAATACAGAAAAAAACTATATTGAGAATAATGATAATATGCAAAAACAAAAAACAAAAAAAAAGTTAAAATTTTGGGGTGAAATATGACCGGCACAAGTAAGAAGCTGTATTTGGTGGTTATTATTAGTATTGC